TTAGATACAGAGTAAATCTCCCTCTACACTGTCCCCCATCAAACACTTCCAGGACAGGGACAGCATGGGGTTGGATACAGAGTAAATCTCCCTCTACACTGTCCCCATCGAACAAACCCAGGACAGGAGTTTAGATACAGAGTAAACGCTCTCTGCGCTGTTCCCCATTGAACATTCCCAGAACAGGGATAGCACAGGGTTAGATATAGAGTAAAGCTCTCTCTACACTATCCTCATCAAACATTCGCAGGACAGGAACAGCATGGGATTAGATACAGAGTAAAGCTCCATTTGCACTATGCTAAAAAAAGCTCTGCACGTTGGTACATGATTAGATACAGAGAAATGCTTCCTCTAAACTACAGCAACAATTGGGTCAGTCCAAACTCCAAACATTTCAATCACCATTGCACTTTTTCCATTTGCTGTGCTGGTTATGCTATTGTCTGAAAGTAGATGGATGCTGCAACACCTTGGCTGTGTAATCAGTGTCTCTGCAAGTGGACTAGAGCCCAACACTTTTCAAAAGGGATAGGATAAAAATACTCAGGACCAGGTTTCAGTGCTCAGGTGTAGCGGTTCTTTATATACAAATGAATACTGTTACCTTTAATTCTCACTGTGGATCTTTCCACAACACAGAGAATGCAATGCATTTTGCAGGGGGTGCCTGGTCCAATGGGAGCTGCTGCTTATGAGATTTCTGTTACCAGTAGATGCAAATACATTGATTAATACGAGAAACTCATTACTGAGAAGGTCACCTTTGTAATATCTATGTTCTTACATCCTCAATCTCAGCTCAGCTTCGCCTCCTACAGTTTCAGGGATGATTTTCACGAGCAATTTTTATTTCTTGTCATTGGACGTCTTGCCAATGTTGTGTTCTCAGTGTTTTTGCTCACTTTCTACAAGCACCTTTTCTCTGTATTTTCTGGAATGTTCTCTGCGTAGGCAGCAATTCGCACTCTTAGCTCACATATGAGATTGAAGGTGCCTTCGGGTATCATGGTCTATCAGAATCAGTTGCAGATTGGAATGGTATTGGCCAGGGGTAGATACCAAGCATGGAATATCCGAGCCATTGGGTTCAAGTTAATCCGTTTTGTTCATTCAGGCAGAAAAGGTCATTGTGAGTATCAGGCTGTACAAGAGATGTTTACTGTCTTGTGAAAGGAGAAACTTTTATGGTGACTTAACTGAAGCTGCAGGGCAATGGAGGTCTGGGTCCATGTTCACTATGATGTAATTTGATGTCAATTAAGATACACATTGGATACCTTTGGGACAAGAGTCAACTTTCAGGACATCTTTTTCATCAAAGAGTAATCGAGGTGTACAAAATGCACCAGTGAGAAAATTCAAAATGGGCAGTGGCTTCAACTTGGACACAGGACTTGAGGGACAAGAGAATGAAAAATATAGGGAGGAGGTAGGTTGGTGGGATTGAGGGATGTATGGATCAAGTGAATTAGTGGGATTGAGGGATGTATGGATAAAGTGAATAAGTGGGATTGACGGATGGGATAAAGTGAGGATAAAGTGGGATTGAGGGATGGGATAAAGTGGGGATAAAGTGGGATTGAGGGATGGGATAAAGTGAATAAGTGGGATTGAGTGAGTGGGAGGGGGTTACGTGAAGCTTGAGAAAGGAACCAGCTGGTTGAGGTCAATAAAATTTTCCTGTTCCCAAATGTTCATATTTTGATACTGGCTCCCCCAATTTGGAGAGAGGAATACTGTATACAATGTCCTTTCAGTCAGGAGTCAGAGTTACCGGGTCATAGAGTCAATCATACAGCACAACTCATCCATGCCGACCAGGTTTCCCAAACTGAACTAGGCCCATTTTCCCCTGTTTGGCCCATATCCCTCGAAACCTGTTCTATCCATGTACCCGTCCAAATGCTTTTTAAGTGTTGTAATTGTACTTGCCTGTGCTGCTTTCTTTGGTAGCTCATTGCAAACACGCACCACCCTCTGCCTGAAGCAGTTACCCCTCAGGTCCCTTTTAAATTTTTCCCCTCTTGCCTTAAACCTATGCCCCTCTAGTTTTGGACTCCCCTACCCTGGGGAAAAGACTTTTGCTACTCATCCTATCCGTGCCCCTCATGATTTTATAAACTTCTATAAGATCAGTACTTAGCTGTAGGGAAAATAGCCCCAGCCTATTCAGCCTCTCCCTATAGCTCAAACCCTCCAACCCCAACAACATCCTTGTAAAGAGACAACAAGGTGCAGGGCTGGATGAACACAGCAGGCCAAGCAGCATCATAGGGGCAGACAGGCTGATGTTTCGGGCCTAGACCCTTCATCAGAAAAGGGGGAGGGGAAGGGGGTTCTGAAATAAATAGGGAGAGAGTGGGAGGCGGATAGAAGAGGGATAGAGGAGAGGATAGGTGGAGAGGAAACAAACAGGTCGAAGAGGCGGGGATGGAGCCAGTAAAGGTGAGTGTAGGTGGGGAGTTAGGAAGGGGATAGGTCAGTCCAGGGAGGACGGACAGGTCAAGGGGGCGGGACGAGGTTGGTCGGTAGGAGATGGAGGTGCGGCTTGAGGTGGGAGGAGGGGATAGGTGGGAGGAAGAACAGGTTAGGGAGGCAGGGACGAGCTGGGCTGGTTTTGGGATGCAGTAGGGGGAGGGGAGATTTTGAAACTTGTGAAATCCACATTGATACCATT